TCTGTCCCTATCTCAGTGATTATGAAATCACGAGGGCTATCACCTGTCAAGCGTTGTCGGTCGAATTTCGAAACACCCTGTATATCCCAGAAAAAAGTACTAACTTTATTCCCACGGGAAAAAAGTAATTTAGGAAAAGTGACATTTTATAACCTGCCAACAGATATGAAATGCCAAACTTTTTTCCCGTCACCGAAAAAAATATTTTTTCTACAAATGACAGAGAAAGTGGCTTCTCAATAACACTTGATCGGCACTGAAGTTGTACTTTCACTGCCTAGGCAGGAAAGGACTATCTATAGGCAGGAGAATTTTATTGCTATGCAACGCTCCAAGAACTTTTCCCTATCAAATTGCGGAAATCAAAATTGAAAATGACTATGGGTAATCAAACAATGATGTGAATAGTTATTTGTTCTACTAGGCAAAGGAAAAACTATCAACCGCGACAGTTCATCTACATTTACTGGTGTAAAAAACATATTCATACTTTTTTCCAAATGTTATATGTCAGTGTCAATTCTAATTATCCATTTCTAGGAACGTATTGCATAGCAACAAACATTTTCTGCCAAGGCAGAGAAAGTAAATTTTTCCTGCCTGTTGAAGTGTCAGAGACAAGCCACTTTTTCTGCCGCTTGGAGAAAAATAACTATTACAATATACAGGGTGACATAGAAAAAAGTACATTGCATAGTGCCAAACAATAGAGGACACTAAAATAAGAAAAAAAGTTCCTATGAACATGGGTCCGCAAAGCCTTCGGTTAAAAGATACGGGGTGTTGAATTTTAACATTAAGTCTTTAGAAGATGTTCAAATTGTTGCCCTTGTACTTCAATATATTTCTCCATTAAAATTCAACACCCCGTATCTTTTAACCGAAGGCCTTGCGGACCCATGTTAATAGGAACTTTTTTTCATATTTTAGTATCCTCTATTGTGTGGCACTATGCAATGTACTTTCTTCTATGTCACCCTGTATAAAACTAATATTAGTTTGGCCTATATTTTACAGAGAAATTTGGCAAAATTCTGGTACATTCTCAAGCGCATTTTGAGCATAAAAGGAAAATCGATGATCCTTCGAGGGTTTATAGGTAACATTTTGAATGGTTATAAATTATCTATATTACACCTAATTAACTATTGGAATATTTCCACATACCAAAGTAGCATACAAATAGGTTAGCCCATAGTGTCAAACTAAGATTCCTACAACAATTTTAAAATTTTCGGTTGAAGAATAAACTTGGGCCACCCTATACGATGCTCACAGGGTATTGAAAAATCTTCCATCATAATCTCCATATAACTGTTCGACTCAAGAAAATAAAAAAATATATACAAAAACTAAAACGCATTGAGTACCTACCTTCCTACTTAACAAAATATACACTATATTGCAACAATATGGACAAATTCAGTTACCTACAGGGCGAATCAAATTTGAAATCAGCCTTTGTACCAAGTGACCTAGATAAAATGAAAACACCTGCCGTTTTTCAAGTTTCTCAATACATCTGTTCAGGCTCATAAAGCCTAAGATGAAGTAAACGAATTAAATTAAAGCTTTTTGACTCGAATTGTGGAAATGTTCATTGTATGTGGGTCACTCGGTATAGGAATATTCTATGATTGTATGCTGCATTATCTCACAACTTGAGGAATTGGCTCGATCCATCGATTGTTGGGGTGAAAATAAATAACAAGTTTGAAGCAATGGAACTGATGATGAGCCCAATGATTGACGAAACTTCATATTGTGGATCAGTGATTCCGAAACCAACTGAATAAACAAAATGAACTGTTTGCTTTCACAACTCGAGATATCTCACAGAATGTAACTTTTGTGATTCATGACTGATGATTTGGAATGGATGATGTCTGTTTGATTTTTCATTTACTTGTCTTGGAATAATTTTTCTACTCACAAGCTATATGTAAGTATTTACAAACTTGGTTCTGATGCGTTCACCTATTGCTATCTCGTGAGTAACCGATAGTTTTGTGTATTTGTACAGGGTGGGCGAAATAGGTCATTTTTAAAGGCAAAGTCCAATTCTCCAACTTCATGGTGAAAACTGCATATCGATATCTGTCTTCGATTCGAAGTTATAAGGTGTTCTAAGATAAAAAAAAAAATGGGCATTTTTCAATAGTGGCTACAAATTTTTTTTTTTTGCGAAAATTGTATGTTCTCATGAGAATAACTGCAAAGCATTGATTAAATACTGTCTGTAGGTTAATCGAGGAGGTGGTACATTCATTGTTCCAAGTTTTTTGGTATTTTTTCTCCTCGTTTCTATAAAATAAAAATATGAATGTTATTTCAATATACGTGTAGTAAAGGACAAATCAGATGATTTGCCCCAAAATGTCACTGCGTTTAAAGAATTTTCCTATCAGAGAGCCTAAAAGAAAAATTCACTAGCTTGTCAGTGACAATTTGTATTGAAAATAGTTTGGAGAAGAGGAATAAAGGTATATAGAAAAAATATCAAATTCTCACTCATCTTTGGACGTTTCGGGACCGATTCTGCTCCCGTTTTCAACATGAGAAGAGATTATTTCAGTAGAGAAGTCGTATAATATGTCTTGAAGCTTTTCAGTTTGGTGACATGAAAATGACAGGAAAATGGTGAATTCAAGATTAATTAATGAAAACATCCTGTATAACTCATTTGATTGCCAACGTCACCAATTGTCATTGAAAACTGAAAAGAGAGATGTATAGAAAATTAACTGGTGCGCTTACTCCCAATTGATCGAAGGTCGTTTGAAAGATTCTCGATGAAGCCTACTCTGATAAACCTTCGATAAACATACTTGACGTGGATAAATCTCGTCAAGCTCATCCTGGTTACAATCCATATTTACAGGAAACATATTACCGATTGATAAATATTTTGATACGTATATGATTTGGATCAGAGCAGTGAACTGATTTCTGATCAAAGGATCGAAACGTCAATATGTCAAAAATATTCTCAACATGCTAGTTTGTATACACGTATTGAGAAAGTACGTTCAAGAATAAGTTCAAGGTATTTTCTGAAAAAATCCCTAGGTATTAGAGGTATCTTTTGATTCTTTCACTGAGAAAATCAACAGATCAATGAAAATATCTTCCAATTCGAATTGAATTCTTGGTGCATTCGCAAGTAGTACCTATATGATCAGTTGAATTCGTACTTACTTTTGGTACAGATAACATATACGGAGTTGCGAATTTTTATACGATCCGCATATATTGCAGCAACGCCAGTCCATGATGAAATATAAAAACCAAACACTATAAACCAAACAAACAACAAACCTACTGAACAACAATTGAAGAATTAAACACTAATGAACAACAATTACAAGATCAAAACACTAAACACTTTATATCTCGTACGAATTTTCCGAATTTTCGAATCTAAATCGCTGAATACGAATTGACAGATGTCACTGACGGAATTCGACCACAGAACAATGATGGAAATAGATTCATCCCTCACAGAATCAAGGTTTTGAACGATTTTCCGATTATGGCGCCTCTATCGTCAAATACCTGAACCCCACGTCCAAAACTCGCTTGCAATTGTTCCATATCGAGAGTTAGTCTGACGAAACAATTGAAGAGTGAGCCCAGCAGTTAAATTTCTATACATCTCTCTGAAGAGCTTCAAGACATATTATACGACTTCGCTACTGAAAACGGGAGCAGAATCGGTCTCGAAATGTCCAAAGATAAGTGAAAATTTGATAATTTTTCTATATACCTTTATTTCTCTTCTCCAAACTTTTTTCAATACAAATTGTCACTGACAAGCTAGTGAATTTTTCTTTTAGGCTCTCTGATAGGAAAATTCTTTAAACGCAGTGACATTTTGGGGCAAATCATCTGATTTTTGTTTTGGTCTCAGGAATAGTTATCATCCATGGAGATCCAAGAGAGATCCATTGAAAGACTCTATAAGTCAATCTGACATTCGCGAAAGTCAAGCCGTGACGTGACCCGTAAAATGAAGCAGAGCCTTCTTGAGAAATTTGTTTTGTTGATTTGCTGCTTTTTCATTAGTCTAACCTTTTCAGTTGCTGTGGATCCTGAAAATTCTGAATCTGTGATTGGTCGAGTGCCGTTGAATAATGAGTTGGGATCCACGGTGTCTTGGAATCATCTTCATTCATCAATTACTAACCTATATGTAATCAATGTAGAATACGATAGTCGTAGAGAAAAATGCATTATACGTCGTAGCTGCGAGCCGCGAACGCTGGACGTCGCTAGGAAATCCCACCTTTAAGGATCAATTCCCACATCAAACACAATGCTTTGAAAATGTCTTTATGGAAACGAAGAATTCTTGACGAATAAATGAGTTTCAGCAACTTTTCGAAAATTCATATTTTCAAAAAACATCTTGTAATTCTCTGGAACGAAAAAAGATATCGATATGCAGTTTTGCGGTTGAAAGACATCATGGTTAGTATGCTCTATGTAGATGCAATGAGGAAAATCACGTGGAGAACAACATATCGATAAAAATATCAATGTTATAACATAACTTGTGTTTCAAACAGTGGCTCATACTAAAAAGAAGAGTTTGGTAAATCGTTACGGGCTTTTGGTTGTTATGTAATTGGTATTTCAGGACTTTAGTGGGCTCAAACTGATGAAAGCACGAGCTCCGCTCCGAATGGCTGCCATATTGGTACTAAAATCAGCCCTACCTACTGTCATGTCATGTCATTTTGTGCTTATAAAGTAGATCCTTACAGCTTTTTTCATACCAACAATGTGGCGATTATACCGTGTTTATTACGTCAGCAACCAGAAGATTGTTCTGATCAATGTACACTATATAATTCCGGAATGTTTTCGATTTTGTTGTAACAGTCAAAGAGTGAAGAATACTCGTATAATCTTCCACTTTTTCACTTTTCCGTTTGGCAGTACACGACACTGTTTTTGGCTAGTTGAACCGAGCTGGAAGCTCTTGATTCCAGAGTTTCTCAACGCGAATTAACCATTGGGTCGTCTGTTGGAGATTCCAGATTTTCTTGGAACATACTGTTGTTATTCTGTTCCCTACTGGACTCGTCCTCTAAGGTGGTGGTTGACTCTAATTCTGCGTCGCTATCTACGTCTTGGACGAATCTGAAAATGAGTGAAAAAGTTGTTATTTTCGAGATATATAAAAAACACTGCCATCTTCCGTTCTCAGATGTCCATAAGCATTTCATATGAGAAATAAGTACAGTAGGTTTTTGGGCCCAGAAGTGTTTTTTCTGATCGCTAGCCCTATAATCTTTTGTTCTTTTTTATGTTCTGGGTCTCACGAAAAGGGATATCCTGTAATGTTCAGAGAACGACACCGTGAGAACCAAGAGAAATAAGGTAGGAATTGGTGTTCTTCTTAAATTTCTTGGAGGATATATGCCTCGGGGAACACCTCCCTTGGCAATGTGTTCCAGAGCCTCGCTGTTCGTTGGATGAAGGAGTCTTTAGAAAGAGATGTTCTGCAGGTCTCCAAAGTGACCAAGAAGAGGTGCGAAGCCTCAACTCGACGGGTTAATGTCGCGGTCTCTAGTAAGGGAGGAACAATTGTTGATATTTCAGAAGAGCATCGTCAACGGAAATATCTATGAAATAGAGCCAGATCGCCAACTATTTTACGGTGTTCCAGAGAAGCGAGTGAGTTTGTGAGCGAGGCATCACCCACGAGACGAATTGCCCTTTTTTGGACAGAATCCAACAGTTTCAGGGTATGTTTGGGTGCTGCACTCCAAAAATAGGAACAGTATTCCAGAACAGGTCGGATCAGTGCCTTATAGATCATAAGCAGCTGACTGGAAGTGAAATAGCTCCTGGCCCGAAACAAAAAATCAAGTTTTTGGGGTGCACTTTCAGCAATTATTGATCTCACCTGATAGAATACCAAGCATCAAAATTGATGTCTTCAAAGATATGGATACTCCTGGAAAGCTCATGTTGGGCACAGTGAGATCGGCTTTTCTAGCGAAGAGACATGCTTTGTGTTTTGTTTGCATTGAATTCTACCCCATATAAGACATAATTGCCTAAGGGCATTCTCAAAATATCGCCGATAGCTTCAAGAGGAAGTCGTTCATCGTAATGAAGCCAATATGCTGCAAATTTTCACTATTTCAATGTTGACATCGATTTTCCCAAAAGGTATGTTGAAAGTCTCCAACTCTACCCTGGTGGATTGTGAGAGGATATATTTTAGACCTCATTTGCACGTAAAATAACAGGTGGACGTCCTAGAGACGTCTCGATAGTTTAGGAGATCATCATTAGGAGCTCCTCAAGGGGTTAACAAAACGACTATATTTTATCTTGGACCATTACTCACTCCTTTCCAAAGAAGTGTATTAAACTGCCCCACATTTGAAGTGAGACAAGCATTTTCTTTCATTTTTGAAACGTCATAGCTTTGGATCAAATCAACCAATTCTCAATTACTTTCGAGAGAATGTACCCTATTTTTCATCGCTGATGCCTGCCCCTTTGATCTTGTAGCTATTTGCGCCTGATATCACTCCAATTCCAATTTCACGCGAAAATTGGCAAGATGAGCCGTTTTAGGACAATTTCGTCTGAAGAAACCACGAAAATATGAGAAAACTAGTTCCGTAAACTACCCATCAGTTACACGAAATCATCAATAAAGATAATCAGGTGAATTTTCTCATTAACTCAAACATTTTCCATCAGTTATGTCTCTCGACAAATTACTGATCGACAAAAGTGTTTCGTTACCAAGAGAAATGTATCCGATAAAAAAAGCTCTTGTGTTTCTACTGTTGATAAAATTTTGGACGTTCTATACGTCGATTATGTTGGAAGCCAGAATGATGGATGCAGTGTGCTCAACTCTCGCAAGCCGCTCGCTTATCGTCTCAATCATGGAATATTTTAATACGAATACAACTCGTGATACTATTTTTCCTGGAAATATTCATCGAATGACATACTCCATCTTGCTGCTTCAATTGCGCTCATGACATTGTTCCAAAACGTCTCTCCTACTGCTCGAAAGTTTAGCTAAACAATGTCATTCGGCGAAATTATTAGGCAACAAGCTGTCGTAACAATCGCCGAATGATTTCGGCAAAATAGTATCACTTGTTGTATTACATATGAAAATAAATGTTGCTCAACCGTTTTGGGGCTTTTATATTGAGATATTGATTGATAACCTCATGAGTTATGAGTTATGAAAAAAGATGTATAATACCTACCAAACGGATTTAAATTTTGTTATTACAGGTTATTACTTCAGGTTAAAGGTTATCAACATAATAAATATGAATACTTACGTATAGTGCTTCTCTTCTCCTCGCATATCACAAATAACATTTGTTAATGCCATTATATAATTTTTTGCTAATGTTAATGTTTCTATTTTGGATAGTTTCCTCTCCATTTTTATGTGTGGAATGACTTCTCTGAGTTGCTGAAATAAATAAAAATGAATATATTAAATGATGGTGATGAATATAAAAATCATTAGACACAGTAGGAACAGTCACTTTCACAGTTTCTCACGTGGAATCTAGTGGCGTAGACAGATTTTTGAAATCAGCTATTATCATTCAGGTATAACCCAAAGTTTTCTTTTTTGAAGGAACACCCTGTATATTTTTTCTTATTTGATATATTGAAGATTTATCAACTTCATTAATCGGTACCTATTGAATGAGAAGGCATTCGAAAGAATAACGGTTTATAAACATAACAAAAAATTTTAAGTTTTGTGAAGTTAGCATTGATACCATGATTTATTCTTTATTTTTGACTCACCCTGTGTTTTAATTGAGTAATGGCATAGAAAGTGCTTACACCCTATACGAAAGAGGCTTGTTTTGCGAGCATTTTGTTTTTCATTCATTGATTTATCTCTGAAATTTTCCGAATTAGGTACAGCTTTTTTTGCTGAATCCTTGAAGATTACCAACTTTCTGAATTTATCGAGAAACCATTTTCTAATGAAATGAACTGATACCAATAATTTTGAAGAACATTTTTGTTAAACACAAAATTATAATTTGGGATGCCTGCTTTATACCGTGTATTGCCTCCACTAGCAACTCTAAGAACTTCTAATCTTCGAGGCATACTGAAAATTAAGTTGCTTATTGTTTCCATTGGTATATATACGATTCCATTCTTCCACTAATGCATCTGCCATTTCTGCGAGACTTTCCGGAGACCTCTCGCGAGAACGTACTCTTCTCCCTAATTCATCCCACAAATGTTCTATAGGATTCATATCGGGGCTCCTCGCAGGCCATTGTAATGTGGTAATACCAGTAGCTTCTAACAAGTTTCGCACTATTGCTGCGGTATGTGGTCGGGCATTATCCTGCATCAATATAAAATTATTGCCCACTAACTCTGCATAAGGTAAGACATACTGCTCTAAAATGTCAATGTAAATTTGGGCATTCATCGACTGCCTCATCGGAAAAATATGAAGGAGTGTCTTTTCATTCATTGAAATCCCTCCCCACACCATAACGGACCCACCATTAAAACTTTCGCAAACCGTTCACCAGTTCTTCTCCACACTCTTTTTCTTCCATCCACCATGTTAAGGCAAAACCTTGACTCATCCGTAAACAAGACATTAGACCATTCAGGAATATTCCACTGTCCATAATTTTCAACAAAATTTCTTCTAGCAGCACGATGTTCGGGCAATAATTTGGGACCTTTTGCAGGTCTCCTAGCTTTTAAATCAACTTCTTTTAGATATCTACATACCGTCTGCTTACTTACTGCAACATCACGAATTTGGCGAAGATCTTGCTGAATATTTACCGCAGTATTTGATCGATTCCGTAAAATCCGCAATCTCAAGAAGCGATCATCTCTCGGAGAAATTTTTCGGGGGCGACCAGAACCGACCCTCCAAGCGGTGCTTCCTGTTTGTTCGAACTTGCGGATTGCTCTACGAGCAGTTGTTTCATGAACTCCCACTGCACGAGCGGCGTAACGTTTACTACGCCCATCGTTTACTAACGCAACTAATCTTGCTACTTGTTCAGGATTCATTTGAGGTATTTTATGTAATTCTAGTCAATAAAACAAGTCACTTAATTAATGACACAACGACAAATGGTCAAATATGGAGGCATACAACAAATTAGTTGTTATGGCAACGGCATTTGTTTTTTTAAAGACAATGTGATCCTACCAGAGTACAACCCAATCAATTTTGAGTACTCTGATCCTTCAATAAATTCAATTTGTGGGATAAGCGTGAGGTATCAGCAAAAAAGCTGTAATTCGGAAAATTTCAGAGATAAATCAATGAATAAAAAAATAAAATGCTCGCAATAGAAGCCTCTTTCGTATAGGATCTGAGCACTTTGTATACAATTACTCAATTAACACACAGGGTGAGTCAAAAATTGAGAATAAATCATGGTTCGAGTTATTCCACCACCATCAAGGAGGCTTTGAAAAAACTTTCACATCTTCATTTTTTTTTAAAGACAAATGCATTACCTCCCAACAAATAAAAAAAAATCGGCATTCTATTGTTTTTTAAGAAGATAGGTCAAATATCAAGTGCATCACTTTTTTTGGAACTGAGTATAGTATGATCAAAATTGTCATTTTTCAAATAGCCTGAAAGACATTTTATCAGAACTTTTAATGACAGATTACGTGTTGAAACCTGTGTATTAGGTTAAAAAGTTATGAATATATGAAACTCTAACATAGCAACCTGATGTTTAAATTATTTGAAGAATTTGATACACTAGAATTATTATACCAATTTCGCCAAAGGAAGATACAGTATCAGTATCACTCGGCACAAATATAAATATTATTCACGGTTAATGAAAATATGTTATTATTTTGATCGAAATAAATCATTGTGAGGTATTTTGAAAGGTCATATTATATAAACTGTATGAAGAATTATGGAACAGGTTGAATTATTTTGCAAATGAAGGATGGTATCAGAAATCTAGCGATGAATCAGCTATTTGTTCCCAATGTTCTCATAATAAAATATCGATGTTTATTTCGAGTTGACTGCTGTTTTCAATGTCGAAAAATCAAAAAACGTGATTAGAAGTCAAAATTCAGTTCATTTAACACAAATTGAGTATCGCTTCCATGTCACACTTCACATTTATGTATAGTGTTAAGGACTTAGCACCCCTTTAAAATCGTTATCATCTGACTGATTTCGAAACGTTTTTTTTTATTGAATAGGTATTTGAAATATCCATCTAACAATGGAGTGATTATACAATATAGTATTTATTCTTGAATTCTTATCATGACCAACTACGACCAACTTTATTAAGCTCTATATTTCAGAAAGTACTATAAGGGATTTTTTGCACAAAAAATATTCATGGATTCTGAATCACGATCACTTGAAACATGCCTGTACTGTATTCCACCACTAGCAATACATTTCAATTTTCATAGTTCTGCGTAAAACTGAAATATGGACGTATCTATGAAAGCACATATTTTCAATTCGGATCAAAATCTAGTAGCCATGACCATGACGGCATAATATGACAAGTCGTTATTGATGAATACCTACTAGATTCGAGTGCCATTCCTGCGAATCTTGCATCAGAACAGTGAATTAGGGTTAATAATAACAGAGGTGGCTATGTCTTCATTGACTAGTGGTTCATAAGATGACGAAAGCTACCATGGTAGTGAAACCACACTTTACGTCTCGAAAAGGAGTAAATAATGGTTATATTCACCTCGAACGCATCATTTAGGGAATGCATCCTCATTCTTTCTCTCTCGTTGCTTTCCAGTCTTCTTAAGTTTCTCTCTCTCGCACTAATACACGTTTTTCGCCGCCTTAGTGTCGTTCCACTAGATGCACTACCACTAGATGCGCTACCTGCCCAGAAAAAATCAAAGTTATAGCTCGAGCTATAGCATCGGTGGATATAGATTATAGCAAATATCGCAAATTGAACTAGATGAACAGAGTTGCCCCAATTTTCAGCAGGAGCGAGACGTACTGCTTAGGCCCATCAGGCCTCATCAGCCGCTCTTGGTTTATTTAAGTTCATTATTCTTATTTCGAGACCATAATTAACAATTATCAATCAACAAGTAACAAGTAAGAAGTTGGCCAACATATAACTTTATTAATTTGATCGAACCAGGTTTATTTCTAGTATATATATTGGATCTTTCTTTTATTTTATTCAGACCAGGGAAGAGTCCCTCTTATCCTGATATCTATTATGGAACAAAATGAAAACGGTATTGAAGTTTGATGCGAACAGCCCTTCTGCCCCAAATAAGTTTCAGAAATGCATTCTAAGAATTGAAAGAGATCGAACGGAAAAAATAAATATCAAAAACTTGAGAATAGTAAATTTGGTCATAATGTCGATATTTTCTCTAGTTTATGGACAATCTCGGTCTTTTGAACTTTGATTGATCACCTGGGTCATAATCAACTGCATTTCGAAGAAGCTGATTCTCATGAACCTCAGCTCTTTCGAAAGTCTTGATGTTTCGTTCTTTAATGACTGACACGATTGAAGGGAGTTTCAGATCCCTGGCGATCTGGTTATTCCGAACATACCAAGGAGATCCTGTCACCATTCTCGCGATTTTGTTCCGTAATGTTTGTAATCTGGTGATATGAGATTTAGCTGTGTGGCCCCAGACTACTGAGGCATACAGTAAAATTGACCTGATAGCCATGATATAAATATTCAATTTTTGTCTCAAACCCAATTTACTTCGCCTGTTTAGAAATGGATACAGGGCTCCAATGGCTCGTTTAGCTTTAGAAACTTGCTGTTCAATGTGCTGGGCCCAGGTGAGCTTTTTGTCAATGCACACACCTAGGTATTTAACTTGTGAAGACCACTCTAACTCATGACCATCCAGGACTATTCTGGTTCTGGGAGGCCTCCGCTCCCTTCCGAGTGCGACCAATTGTGTTTTTGTAGGATTCAATTTGATCTTCCATCTTAGGAAGTACTCCTGAAGAGAATTCAGTGCGCTTTGGAGGTTCATAGCTGCTTGCTCGAAATTTGTCGAATATGCAAGAACTGCCGTATCATCAGCAAAAAGCGACATCTTGCACATCACTGGTCTTGGCAAATCGCTAGTATATAAACTGTACAACAGCGGAGATAAAACTGCACCCTGAGGAACACCAGCTTCAATGGGCTTGATACCAGATCGTTGATCATCAAGTCTTACTTGAAAAGTTCGATTTTTCAGAAATGAACACATCAACTGAATCAAATCGTCAGGAAAGCCCATATCGATCATTTTGTATAAGATACCATCATGCCACACCTTGTCAAATGCTTTCGCTATGTCAAGGAGAGCAAGATGGGTCTTTTGTCTAGTGCGCAACTCTAGTTCGCAGATGATCGCGGATTGGTTTCATCGACTGGTAGAGAAAGCATGGATTGGTCAGACAAATGTCAGACCTGATATCTGTCAGATGTTATGAAATTTGTATAAGCATAACATAAGACGATCGCAATCAACAAAAATAATTGTGAATAGGATTAACGAAGAAAAAAACTGTTTCTTTAGTATAAATAAGACAAAAGAAGCTGGGAAATCTATTGATCGGAACTCAAATAGATGTCTAGTTATGATCACATAAACTATAGTAAATCAGGGTGAATACGAGGCACGGTCAAAAAATTCATTTTTCGGAAAAAAAATTCGAGCACTATTCCAAAACCAACAAGTTATATTTCGATGAGACATTATAGTTGTAGTATATTGTAGGCTTAGAAAATGTATTTTGATTCTTGATAACTATCTCTGTTCGAAATATGAATTTTTAGAATTTTGTGTTATACCCATTTTTGAAAACAATTGACAGCTTGTTTTTGATCACAAAGAAAGGGATTGATTGATACTGTTGATTGAATGAAAGCTGAGGTAACTCACTAGCGAATTCTGTTGTTCAATATTGCCTTTCATTTGGATACAGGGTTTGTTAGATTTTGTTGAAGATTATTTAACATGTTTCAATTGAATATCTCGAAAACAGTTCCGTTAATTCGGATCTCATTCTACTCACACTATTTTGAATATGTTGACTATCATATGCAAAAAGTTTTTTTAATTTTGTATGTTATATAACTTGTTGGTTTTGGAATAGTGGTCGAATTTTTTTTCCGAAAAATTAATTTTTTGACCGTGCCTCGTATGTTTTTGAGTTCCTATCAATATATTTTCTAGCTTATTTTGTTTCATTTATACTAAAAAAACATTTTTTTCTTTGTCAATCCTACCCCGATACGACGTTTTTACGAACTTTTGTCGGCTTATATATCAGAAACTAAACATACAAAACTTTTTAAACTCACATATTTTTCTAATGAGCCATCACACAATAACATATGGTAAAATTTCAGCCAGATCGACCGAGAGCCAATTTACCGTGTTTTCGTGCGGGGTCCTTTGTATAAGGTTATTTTTTTGATAGCCCAGATTTAGGGCATGTACGCTTGCGTAATATCAATACATTAATTGTTAATTTGGTTTGCATAAATGTCAATATTCTCATCACTTGTCAATTGATAATTATTGTTAATTGATGAATGTTACTTGATAATTGATAAGTGTTGCTGCATGAATTCACCCTAAGTCAGTGGATTTACCTCCATTTTTTCTCCTTTTTCTTCCTGTCGCTTCATCGCTGCTCGACTCTGTGAGATCGTCTCTTCCATCATGGTGTTTCCGGATTTCCATGTCTTCCACTTCCACGTCTTCTTCTTCTTCATGCCATGGTGCCGTCATTTCCAGAGACCTCATTATACGTTAGAGACCCTGCAACAAGAAGAATGACATTATTTTCCGACCAAATCTTCACGAAGCATGTACACAGTATATCAGTGACGGCTCGTGCTTATTTCAACAGGGGACGCTGAATGGGAAGAGTAAATGTGAAATTCTACAAAATTAATTATTGGTTGACCTAGAGAGATCTTCCTGTAGAAGTTACAGCAATGAAACTCCGTACCTATGTAATCGATATGTTCATCCATTGAATAACTACTTCACCGGCTATACCAACTCCTCGAATTTTGATACAGGGTGAATCGAAAAATCAAAAATATCAGAATTTTGCCATTGAATAACTAACACCCTGTATGAGATTTTGCGTTCAAATTCCGTATAGAAGTATTTCAGCTATGCCTGAATGGAATAGGCTAGTCACAATTTCGAGAAAAAAATGCCTAATAGTCGTTTTTGCAATTTTGACCTCTTCAATAAACAAAAGTAGGCCTTGAAAATCTGAATATTTCAAATCTGTCTGTGAACTACAGATGATTCGATATTTAAATGATATTCAAATCATTACTCTGTGGTCAAGAATATCACCTCTGTGCGTTTATTTCCGTGAAATAAGTATTATATAACAAAGAATGCGGAATTTGAGGCAATAACTAATGTATTTTACTACCTACTAATATTCTCCATCACTAATGATATCACATCCATTCATGAATTATTTAAAAAAAATACAAATAACCTGTCAAGGTCACCTCATCATATTATAATAGCATAAAATATGATTATTTTGCTATAATAGTGATAGATTTTTTGATACATTCCAACTGAAAGCTGCGATGTGGTTGAGTTGAAAAACAGATTTTTGCTGATACTCTACCCATTCTCCATATTGCAGATATGAATAAGGTTAGATATACCATTTTTACGCTGGCAAGAGTAGAAGTTAGTTTCTCTGGTAACAAAAGAGGGGCAGAAGTCTCGTATTATCATCTAGGGAGATGATGTGACATATTTTCTCCCTAGGGAGTTTACACCAACTTTACATTGTCCTCATAGCTTTGCGCTTTCTTTTCGGAACACCCTTCTCTGAAGCGAGTATAAGATTGTAGATTGTAGAATGTAGATGGGTCGTATAGGCTGAGAGACCTCTCGATCACTGCGACCTAGAAGATCTATTGTGATTACCCCTATCTAATTTTGGTCCTTCAACCCTAGACTTCTGATGAAGCCTACGATTTTCCTGACGGTTGACTTTTCCACTTCAGCAGGGGTGAGATAGACCTGTTCTAGGTGGTTCAGCCTTTGGTGGACTAATACTTCACATGAGCAAAGTATGTGTTCCGCGGTTTCGGTCGCATTGTTACAAAAGCGGCAAGTGTCAGTCTCCGCCAGGGCCATCTTTTTGAGGTGGTACCTCAGAGGGCCGTGTCCTGTGAGAAAGCCTGTGATAAGCTTTAGCTCTGGTTTGCTGAGGCTGAGTAGCTCTTTGGCTCGGTTCTGCGAATGGTTGATGAACCTTTTCGCTTGTCGTTGACCTGGAGTTGCTCTCCAGTAGGAGGACTTTTCAATTTCTTTCCATTTCCTGAGTTCTCCCTTTAGGTGACATTTGCTTATCCTACAAAAAGGATCAGGACCAAAAAGTGCAGATGCTGCACCTTTTTTTGCAAGGCGACCAGCTGCCTCATTTTCTTTGATTCCTTCATGCCCTGGAACCCACATAAGTGTGACTTTGTTGTCCTTTTCCAGTTGTATGAGTGTTTCAAAGCAGTCCAATGTAACCTTTGATGTGAAAACGAATGATTTTAGGGCTTTTAGTGCGGCTCGGCTGTCTGAGCAGATATATATGTTGGCACCCCCCAGACCTTTGCTCATGCACCTTTGGGCGCAAAGGTTGATGGCATGCATTTCAGCTTGGAAGATAGTGGGGGAGTGACCTAAGGCTTCAAATAGCCTACATCCGGGTCCATATACACTTGCGCCTACCCCTTCCTCCATTTTCGAACCATCGGTGTACCAAACAAGGGAACCTCTGTCCAACTGAGGCTCAGCGGAACCGTACCTAGGGCGGCTATTTATAACCACTTCAAAGGTATGATCGAAACTGACCCTGGCTGGCATTATGTCCGATAGTTTGGTAGCAGATTCCATTTGTACTTCTTGTAGAATGACCATGTGACCAGTGACATTACCTGATCTGGCCAATTCAGTGGAGTATAAGCTGCATCATACAGATTTCTTTATTTCACTGGTAGCAAGTTGAGGATCACTGCAGAAGCAGTATCAATAGTTTCTTGGGATTCTCCCTCCATTTCTTGTTGCAAAAGCTGTTTTCATGAATTTCAGTTTTATATTTGCTGTCACCATGGGTTGTCAACAAGATGCATGTTTTCAAGATACGAATTCTACAAATTATGCTACTACTAATTATGTCAAAACACTTTGACCAAATTTCAATTCTTTCTAAATTTTTGTGTTTTTGCCAGCGTTAAAAAAAATCACACCTCAGGACATAATTCTATTTTTACCTCGGTGCTTTGTATCATCTTGGCAAAAATTTTGCATCTCTGTCCCTTGATGAATAATGTACTATTTTGTGTTCTTGAATGATTTTTCTGCAAAGGGTGGATAGAGACAAATCATTGTCATTTTGAATGAAGAGAATACAAATAGTTATTCATTAATCAAGGGAAAAAAGTAGTAGATTATATAGTTCGAGGTTGTGTGGGCAACAACAAAAGACCGTGAGTAAAAATATAATATTTTCCCAGTTTATAATACACTATTTTCTTCTGTGACAGGATAAAGGTCGAATTAACATTGAGAAGTTATTACATTATATTAAAATCAGAAAATTATCGATGGTGAAATTTGGAGTTTTCAACAGGGGAATCACACCTGCGTTGCAGAGGCATCTCCATTATTGTTTTGAAGTACCTTTAATCAGATATTAGTCATTCTAATTCTGTTATTTGATTTTTAAAAATTTCGAAATTTGTAATAGTTTGTTGTTTATTAATTTACGTAACCGCGAAGTTGAATTCGTAGAAGATAAAAGGACTTGAAGTTGTTTATCGGAGACGGTGTTATTGGCTTAGTTTTCGGAATATATCCTGAAAAAACACTCTTTTCCAGTGGCAAAAAAGTAATTTATGACATTTTATATCCTGTCAACAATGAATTGTCAAACCTTCTTCCCGTCACAGAAAAAACGAATATTTTAGAATACCACTACGAAATTCACTCAATTTCTCTAGGATTTTTCCAATTTTCAAATTGATTCATCATACTTAGTATTATTATGGTATGTAATGTCACAAGTGATTGAGTTTTCGCGATTAAGTCTGTCGAATCATCCCTAAACGAAAGCGAATAAATCGAGAAAACATCACGAGTCCGCAGAACGAGTGGTGTTTTCTCGGAGCAATTCAGTTGAGCTCAGGAAAGAAAGACAGACAGAGATTAATTCAATTAAAAGTTGCATCTACTTGGTTAATATTAGAGGAAACAATTTGGAATTTTGTGCAAGTTGGTATTTGATCATGACAAAGAACCTTCGACTACTGTCATCATCGATTCGATAGGAGGCATTATATTGGGTGTTGAAGTGGTATTAATTGATTACAAGAAATCGACTTTTTCGATTGATTTCCGATTACGCGATGAAAAACCTTGTGAAAAATAGGTTTGACCTCATGTCAGCTCAGGAATATCTTAAAACCATATTGTAGCATCGTCATTGTATAAATTGGTCAGAAGAATCCAGAAGGGCCTTCTTGCGCCCCCTTGGGTTGCCTTATCTGAAAAATCACGAAATCAACTCGAGATATTGAGCAGAGCAATCGATCCAAATGGAGGATTTGTGTTTAGCATAGCATATGGTTATGGCAGCATCAAACTGAACAGACGATTTCACCAGATTCTGAACATTTCTCGAAAAAATTTGATTATTCTCCTGTTAAAGTTGTCGATGATTTCAACGCAAGATGAATCCATTTTCTTTAGGATGTGTTCTATTGTATAGAGTGGCAAAATACGTTGAATGTGGCTTGCATGATTTTAAAATCAGAAATGATGTGATAAAAACCTAAAATTGAAAAATCATCGATTTTCAACATCCTGTATTCGGAATATGGAAAATTACAAAACCGTTGGCTTGAACGTTCGGAAAAAATGCTTATTAGAAAAATAAAAAAAAATCCCTGGAATACTTTTCTCAAACACTTGGTGCATAATGACAGAAAAACTCCCGACAAATTTTGAATGAGGAATCTTGAACAGAAAGATCGCATGTTCCAAACACTGCATTTCGATTGAAAATCTATTTATTTTTCAAACAGTTATGACATCAGTTTGAAAATTGTCGAAAGTTTCAGTGGTCCATACTTGTTTCTTTGAGTTCTTTATTACTTCCAGTAGCTATATTTTCCAGAGATTTTCCATCTCATCAGTAGCACATCACAGTAAAACAAAAGTGTTTGTAGAAAAAACAGAAACAGATCCATTCATAAATACCATATTTCATTACTTCATGCCTCCATATTCATTTATTATTTTGGACTACTAAAAAATCCATAATTGAATGTTTATCATAAACAATGTTACCAAAATGTGCATATATGCATAACCTTGCTGTCAGTGGATCGTATTATATCAATAAAATTGTTATCAAGGTCATGGAATGTACCGGTATCAAAACCTAGATTGAGTAACTGTCTTTACGAATACCAGGAATACCAGTAGTGGACTCGTATATCGATGAACAAAAATAAAATTAATGAGTTGTCGATACAGTTATTTAGATAGATAGACTTTTTTTATAGTGGATATACGAGGTGTAATTTAATTGACGGCTAAAAATAAAAGCTATGGTTCGTCACCTCATTTTGAGAAGAATACACTGTAAAAAACCGCTTCGAGTTAAATTCGAAGAGTATGTTTTTAGAGTTAAAATACTCTGACAAACTCACTCTAATACTGCAATCATCTCTATCACTACACTTCTCGCAGATTATCTCCTT